AGCATGAAAAAGTAGAGTTGTGTCTGAATGGACTCACAAGCTAGTTGGACTAGCACTAGTGACTGTTCACACATGCTAGTGGCTTGCTAGTAGAGTACTTGGACGAGTACACTGGCATGTGTAAATGAGACTTTAGCGCTATCCGACTGGCATAATGACATAATTTTAATAATATTTATTTATACTTACACAACCAAAAATTAAATTTCTATTAAATCCAAAGATTTTTCATTCTCACTACTGCTCAGAGATAATAGGAGATGTAACTACTAACAAATATCGTGCGGTCCTGAATAAGACATTCTAAGGGACACAGGAAGGTATTATATCCGCTGTTGTCATATGCCTATTTCATTATTCTCGTTTTGTTTACAAAAAGCTAAAATAATTCAACCTATTTTATTGCAACTGAACCCAAATATTTTTGAATTATTAGTTATATGAAATTTAACTAAATTAGATGTAATTTCATTAAATTAAATGTAATAATTTTCAATAAATTCTAAAACCTAGTCATGTTAGGTTGGAAGTGGCAACAGGGCTTACACCGGCATGGATATTTACGTTATTTATTATAAAGGCACAGCGGCTTACACATTTATTCATTGATAAAATAAAGTTGTATCTGCGTAAAATCCTTCTCTTTACTCTCTCTCTCTCTTACTTCTCACCTTTTATCTCCTCGTCGCGGACCTACAAATAAACCGTATTGATTGCCGAATTAATCTTGGCATCGTGAATATTATATTTTATCAATGAATGGTTATATCTCTGTTATATCTGCTACTACTATGTAATAATAAAGACAAATATTTAAAAATAAATCCTAACTTCCAAAATGAAACTGGCACTGAAAAAAAAGTACAGTTCCAAAAAATTCGAACTTTGAGCAAGAACACCTACCTTTCGAACAAAAATTTCACTATGCCCTGGTACCGAGCAATTCCAGTCGAATGCAGTAATTTACTTTGAATTAATTATGTTCTGTCAGTCAAACAAACACCACTTAAAAAAGTCGACCTAAAGCTACCATTTGACATATGCAATTATATGAAACACATTTGGGAAGGCGAGACTTTGCTGCCTGTCGTCTTTGTCGCGCGTTCCCAAATGGTGCCTTAAAGCTACCATTTCGCAGGCCGAGACCGACTTCAAAACGCGACGCTACTGCAAGGTAGACCAAAAACGGTCTCTTCACGTCTGAACACATGAAACACATTTCGATAGACGAGACCGACGACAGCAGATTTAGTATGGCAATATTTGCCCTCCTTACTGCTGTCTTGCTCTCAAGTTGGCGAAAACACTAGATTTCATGCCTAAAAAAGGAGTACAGTAGAATAGAGACAAAATAGTACATCTACTTTAAAACAGTAGGTATGGCAACACTAATCGTTGTCCTCAGATGGTCGTCGTCTGTCTCATGGAGTCGGCTTCCCAAATGTGCGTAGGTCTCCTTTTCTATTTTTTTGCGTCTGTCGCTTTACTCGGTCTCGCCTTCCCAAATGGTACCTTAAGTGTGCATTAATGCAGTCAGTCGAATACGCTATAAGATTGTTCTGGGTTCCTATTTAATTGACATGGCCTTGAATTTTAAACTTCAAGCATATACACCTGTCAACGGAGCCACGGTGGCCATTTGACATATATTTTGTTTCATGTTTAATGTCAATATTTTCTCTTGAAAATCCAATAAAATATTTGCATAATTTTTGTTAATTACTGTGTTTTCTTTGTTATTAAAAATTAAGTTCTTGTTGATGCTTTCCATTTTCAAAAAAATCTAAACATACAAATTTCTTTATGCAATATTAACCTTGAAAAAATAAAAACAATTATAATTTTATTTTTCCTAATTTACAAAGACGTCCGGATATTTAAAAATGAGTACATATATGAATTTGACAATTCTCGAAAACGAAATCACGAAGTGAAGAAAGGTCACAGGTTGACTATTTAATAAGCAATAAATGGAAGGTTTTTAAATTTCAAACATCAAATACCAGACTTCAAAATAACCATTTAAATACCAAACTTTTAAAATTGAATCATTTTTGGGGGTACACTTTTAATGGGGAAAACGTTTTCAACCCCCAAAGACCAACCCTTACGATTTTTCACACTTTGTGAACTTAGTCGGGATTTTAAAATGGGTACGTTATTTTCATCCCGGCTATCTCTCAAGGGGTGGAAAAACGAAATGCTGTGTTGGAAAAATCTTGTGGGGTGCACTTTTTGTGGGAAAAGCGTTTTCAACTCTCAACAACCAACCCCTACGATTTTTCCCACTTTGTGAACTTAGCTGAGATTTTAAAATACGTTATTTTCATCTCGGCTATCTCTCAAGGGGTGGAAAAATTAAATGATGTGTGGGAAAAATCTTGTGGGGGTGAACTTGGCTGTTTGCATAATGTGGTCCTTGTTTCCAAACATTTAACCATATTTTTAAATTTTTGAAGTAAGTTGAGGGCGTGCAGGGGGCGTAAAATATTGGTCAACAAGGGTTCAATATTTTGGGTAAACTAGTTTCAACCCTTAAATTGTGACCCTTTTGCTACGTAAATTATTCTTGGTGTCACCAAAGCAAGTCAGTCAGTCGGGCCATCTTTGGGGGTTGTAAAATTGTTGAGAGGGTTGTAAAATGTTTTTCTGCTTTTTTAAATCTCATTTCAACCTTTTTCAGTCGATAATAGGCTTCCACAGTCCCATTAGTCTTATATGGTAAATGTGAAAAAACACTTTATTAAATAACTTTTTTTTGGGAGGGGGAAAAACGTGGACTAACGTGGCCTTTCGATTTCCACGTTTTTACCCCCAGTCGTTAAAATCTTCCCGGCTTGTGAAGGTTGCCAGGAATTTTTATTTTTTTTTTAAATTGGGAGGGGGGGAAAACGAAACTAATTATGGGAAAAATTGGACTAACGAAGGTCTTTCGGTTTCCACGTTTTTTGTTTTTTTTTGTATCATAGAATAGAGTATTCTATTTCTAAAGAACAAAAGGATTTAAACCTTAAAAAGTAATCGTCACTATACATCGGACACATGTATGTAAACAACATTGTTTGGCATCAATCCCAGGAATATAACATTTTTCAAAAAGAACGTGACGCATAATGAATAAAATCCAACAAAGTTTCCAATCGAGTTCCTTTATTTTTGTTGTAACCAACGACAGAGTGAAAACATTATCCGCCAATTAGATAGATGTTAGCCAAAGTATTACTATTATTATTATTCTCGACGGCATCTGACCCACTAACGTAGACCGATTTTATATTATCTACGCACGAATGCATGAATTATCTTCATCTGTAAAGTGGAGAGATGCAACAAGATAAAATATATTAACAGTTTTGGTTGCAACATTGTATTTATTAGATTAATAGAGTAGAATTCAACGTGACGTTCCTCGTCACGAGTTTTAATTTTAACTGCAGTAGTTTACAGTGGCGTGCTTGGGGCTTCAATAACGAATTTTTCTATATCTCTTGTAGAAGAATTTAAGAGTTAAAAGGACTAAGATTTTTATTTTAACACAGATTTACACATTAAAGCACAGTCGATCTAACTGGCTTGATAAACAAAATTAGATGCCCTGAAATGCATAAGAAATAACAAAGAAAATAGGAAAGTTTTAAATGCACTTCAAGCCAGCCCTGGATGTTTCTTGAACATCTATAGTCCAGTTTTTTTGTATTCCTCTATTTCAAAGTTTTACATGCAACATGGTCGATAGAAAACAAAATAATAATAATAAATGCTGTATTTATCAGTTTTATATTTTTTTTTCTCAATTTATAATTTTCACTCATTGAACTTTTGATGAAAATGTTACCATGTAACGCTTTTCCATAGTCCACCACTGTGGAGGTTTATAGTAATGATGATAATTTGTTTTCACAAATGTTAATTTTTTGAAATTACCTGCTGATGTGGATGTTATTATTTGAGAATACCTATTAAATTAATTACTATGTTCTGATAATTATATACAAATAATAAACAGTTGTGACATTGAATGACCTCTGGCTATTCTGGGTTCTATTAATTTACTAATAAAAGTACATAACAGGGAAAACCTTACCACAGGTTTTTCATTATTTATATTTTTAGAATTAGTAGTATCTTTATTTAAAATACAATGAAATATAACTTTACAAATATTTAAATATAATAAAAATGTATAATTTAATACAGATATAGTGATAATATGAATATTTTTATTAAGTACACAAAGATAGTAGATAAAAGAATGTTAGGCTTCTGATGAAAATTTCTAATAATAGAAGCAGTGTAGTTTAAATTTTCTTTGACATTTTATAGGTAAAGTTGTTTGAGTAGGTAGTGGAAATTGTAGTTTCTGATTAGGTATTTCTAGTTTTAAAACGCATAGATTAATCAAAAATCGTCAGATATTCTCAAAAAAAAGTTTAATAAATACTTCAATAGAAAAATTCTGCTTGTTCCCCTTACCGGATGTATATGTACAAGATTTGATTTATTTGAGCATCGAAACTTTTATTTATAATTTTTACTTTTGAAACACGTATTAATCTTTTTATTTTGCCAATTTCTCACGCATAGGGCAATCTTAAGCCATTTCAAACAAAAAACAAAATGGAAAATTTCTACTACTCAATTTCACTTATAATTTTTATTTGTAAAATATCAAAGAAATATATGACAAAATTAAACGGGATGTTCAAAGTATTATTATTATTATTATATATTTATTTATTTACGGATCAAAACCCATTTTACAGAATAGTTATAAAAAGTTCCATAACAAATTTAAAATTATTAACATTACAGCGAGTTACAAACTACTAAGTAAAAAAAGAAATAAATAAAAATAGAAAATATTCATCAACTACATAGTAACGTCTAGCAATATTATACCTGTTAAACATTGTTTATATAAAATTAATTTAATGCGTAATATTATTTTTTCTTCCTGTTGGATAATAAAGTCATTCATTTATGTTTTCGTTTTGTTTCAGACGCTACTAATGTCACACTCTAATACCCCTGCCAGCGCGTCAGCCGGCCCGCCGCCCCCGTCGTCAGTAGCTTCGGTAGCCGCCGCCGCATCCCATCCATCAGCCACCGCCCTCGGCGCCTACCCCGTAGTACCCCCACCTCCATCCTTGATGGCGCCCCATGTACCCCTAGCGGGCCATCACCCGCACCTATCGGCCTCGCACCAGCTCTACCACCCGGCCGCCCAGTTCACCGACATGCTGTGGAAAAGCCAAAGAACCCACGCGGCCTACGGCATGCCCACTCACATGCTGGCCGCCGCCCAACAGTCAGGAGCCCATTCGGGTGCCTCCACCGAAGAATTGCTCGCCGTCCGAGAACAAGTCATGCAAGACAGGGAACGGCAGGAAAGAATGTACCGCGAACGGCAGAACCAGGAGCTCGAGAAGCAAAAAGAGAAGGAACGAATGGAGCGAGATAAGCAAGAACGAGAAAAGATGGAGAGGGAGAGAGAACGACAGGAAAGGGAAAAGGAGGAGAAGGAAAGGCAGGAACAAGCGTTGCATAATCATTTCGAGAAATCTTTAAGAGCAGCTCAGCCAAAGGTACGTCCTTACTTAAAATATATACATGACTAATTTAATTTCCAAATGATCAATAAATTTAACATTAACCCTTTCGACCCCGACTTTTTGTTTAAGAGTAAACAATTTGAAATTTGGCATAATAGTTACTTAATTTATTTTGTGATTTTTATACACTATAGTTTACGCTGGAACTTAAAAATATAAATTTATATGTCTAAAAAATAACTAAATATCAGTATTTTACTCTTTATTATGTCATAATACGACAACAAAATGAGTGCACTACAGTGTACGCCTGGACTGAAAGGGTTAAAGAACACATGATGTCAATTAGTATTTGCTACTCTTGAAGTACCTTGATGTTACCAATAATCTGATTTAATTATGTCAACTAAAATGTTGAAACCAATTAATTCTTGTATCCGTAAATATTGAATTTTCTTGCAGAGGGAACCCTGGAACCCGATAACGGGCAGACCGACCCAAGCCAGGACTTCTAGTCTATCGGAAGACGACAGGAAGCGAGTGGAAGAGATGCACCACAGGGAACAGCAAAGGCATATGCCTTCGGCGAGGGACAACCGCGACCATCGAGCTTACTACACCAACGTGCAAAGAACGTCGAACGTACCGACCAAAGCTGATTATCCCCCGCCCGCGCATAGTCGCGGCGTTCCCAAACCACAAGACAAAGTCTCTGCCATGAATGTCCACCAACAGATGCCCAAGAACGATCTAAGCATGTACGGCTATACTTCCCATCTCGCTCAAAATACCTTCTTCGAACCAAAGATTAAATCCGAGATGCACAAAGCGCAACCGAGCGGCTTGGTCGTGACCAAATCCGGCAACTTGGACAGGGATGGTACGGCGATGGTTAGCGAAATGAAAAATTCCGTCATCGTTAAGCACGACGGTAAAAATCCCCATCATCTTGAACCGAGAGTATCGGTAGCTCATTCGCCCAGTCCAAAGTTGAGGAACGAGATGCTTGGACACTACCAATGTCCCACTGGGCAAACCAAGAGCATCTACGAGTACAGGAGTCCTACGCAGTCACCACACCACATGTCGCACACTCCAAGTCCGCACCATCACGTAGAAGCGCAGAATTTAGGCAAAGCAGCCAGCCATCACAGGTCTAGCGGGCACGTGACGAGTTCGCATCATCAACGACAAAGTCCGCACGCGCATCCGCACGCCCAGCCGCACCAATCGCCCGAAATTAGGTACAGCAGCCGAGCCGAAAGCCAAGCGATGATCTACCAATCGTCGGCGAAAGCAAGTTACCCCTTCACGACCGCAGGTTACACGATATCGTCGGCGCCGCCGACCGTAGCCAATTCCAAACCGAAAGTCAGCAGCCCGGCGCCTCACCAGATATTCGGCAAACCGCATTTAGGAGGCGGCGTGCCGCCGCGACCTTCGCACGAGAACACCTCGCCGATACCGCTCACTTCGAAACCGCCTATCGGTGCTTCGATTTCGCCGTCGCCCTACCAGCAAGTGTCGCAGTACCACCCGCCGCACAGTCAACCGCCGGCGGTGATGACCTGTCCGCCCCCGCCAGCTCACAGTCGCACCCCGACCAGCGTCATGGATCGATTCAATCAATCGACGCCCGGATACGTGCCGAGCGGGTTATCGGTCAAATTGATCGGGCCGGGAACTTCTCCGCCTACGGCGACGTCGGCTCCCATGCAGATATCGAGATCGCATCAAGCTTACTCGCCGAATATGGTCGGGAATTCACAGGTATGTACCTCATTTACTAGTCATTTATAGAAGTAGGACAGATTCTGTTGGTTCTACTTGTTCCGAATCTATAAATGTATTGAAGATTTTTTCATTTCTAAAGCTTGCCCAAGACTCAAAAAGGGGTAGTTTATTAGCTAAAAAGATTAAAAAATGCTAAATAATATTAAAACAGAAATATAATTCTCTACTATCTTCTCCCTCCTTCGAATTGGTTCTTTCTTGCTTTCCCTCTGGAATCTGTCTGCTATATGTCAGATCAATCTGTTTTTAATTGACATTTTTAGCTGTTTTTTTGATACTTTATTAAATTCTTCCAATTTTTAACATTTTAACAGTCTTTTCTAACAATTTTGTTATTTCTTGACAAAACTCCTTTCAGTTGTTTCTTCTTTTTTTTCTATCTATTATTATAATCATTATTTCTTGTTCCCAAATTTCTCTCCGTCCTAGTAAAATAATTGCCGAAATGTTTCATTTTTCGTATATTTTGAATAGCTATAGTCTCAGCTATTTCTGTCTTGAAATCAGACAAATAACCATTTTGTTCTGGTATTAAAGGTTTCTAAATATTGAACTAAAGCATACATGTGTATTGCATAGTATTCATGCTACTTCGTCTTTCATCATATTTGCCAGAAAACAAGTCTTCTCTTATAGCAACTAGTGTAGTCTCACCTTAGAAATAATTAAAAAAGATATCCTTACTAGATAACCATACAAAAGAATGATTTTCCAAATGTTCCCTAAATACTTCCTTAAGATCTTCTACATTCAATATATTCCATACTTTGTTTCCCAGAATCTTTATAAATACTTTAGGATGTATCCTTTTTATGTTACCATCACATTTGTGCTTATTTCCACTCACGAATGATGGTACTATTCTGAATCCTTTCACTTTTCCAATATTTCTCATGCTATCAAACTCTTGGTTTTCTATAACTCTTATATCCTTTAAGTTTTTATTAATTTTTTTTTTTTTTTTTTTTTCAATAACTGTCCTCTTTATCTTTCAGTATGTTATTCTTCAATTTACTATAATTATCCATGGGGTCATTATGTATTCCTTTAATATTATCCTCAATTCGTTCGTCTAATATCTTTACGTCGTTCTGTATTTCCATTTTTATTTTCAAATTTTATTTTATAGGTTGGTTATAAGTCCTTCCTTTATAGTTTCCTCTAGCCTTTTTTCTTATTTCCTTTTCTACTAGTTCACACTTTTTTTATTTACGTAGGTACAGAGCCAGCCCTTGGATTTAGGCATCAGCTCCAACAAGACTGAAAACAACCAATGCATGTCGCCGAAACGAAAATCCAACACACCGGTAGGCGATATCGGCAATCCGGTTTGCCTGGAAGTGAAAAAACGCAAGATCGAATCTTCGCCAGCGGTCAGTATCGCGAGCAGCACCTCTCCGCCGGCAATGAGTGTCTTCGGCATCTCTAACTCGCCCATCGCGTCTCCGCAACTCGCCCGTGTCAGTGAACCGAGTCCGTTGATAGTCAGTGCCGCGACCACCATCACCACGATGGTGAACACGGCCGCGTATAGGACACCACCGACAACCAGTATGATCTCGCAAACCGTCGCTTTACTGCCGGACAGTTTGCCCGATGTAAGCGTGACCGCCGTAACGATAGATCCGCCGCGGCCCGCTTCGATAGGCGAGCAGAGTCCCAAACCAGCTACTCCTACAATACCGGCAAGCAACAGCCCCGCGCCTGTCAGCACCGCGTCTACTCCTACTCCACCGGCTAGCGTCACGCCAGGCCCTAGCGACGAACAGCCTGGAACGCCGGTCAAAGTCAACCCTAGCATGGTCGATTCGGAAAAGAGCAGCAGTCCTGGACCGATGAAACCATCAAGCGCTAGTTATCCAGTGAGGCATTTGAAGAAGGCATGGCTGCAGAGGCATACGGGAGAGGACGCCGAAGATACCACCGGCGTCATAGGATCCGGAAGTTGCGTAACGTTACCGTTGAATATTAAAGCGACCACACCACCGACAGTCGCCGCTGCCATCGCTACCACTAATCCGGTCAAAGAGAACCCCGTCAACTCGATACATTCGATCGGATCGATGGCCGTCAACAGCATCAACAAGATCAAGCACTTCTCCAACAAAGCCGCGAACCGGAAAACTCCGAAGGAGAGCAACGTTAACGGCGATGCCAAAAACGATGATTCATCGAGCAGCGACCAGGAGCGAGGTCGCAAATCGCCGCCCAAGCGCAAGCCACCGAAAGTGAAGCGAAAAAAAGGCGGGGGGTCCGCGACGAAGAAAGCCGTCGACGACAAAAAGAGGAAGAGCGGACCCCAAGCGCAGCAACAGCCGACGGCGACAGCGGCGGCAAGCGAAAGCGGAAGCGACAGCGAAAAGGAAAGCGGCAGCGACAAGGACAACAGCGACTCCGGAGCCAGCGGATCAGCGCCCGGCAGCAAAAAGTCGTCGGGCAGCTGCGGCAGCAACAACAACGGCGGCAACAAGGACCAGCAGCAGCGAAAGCGCGGCCGAAAACCGAAAGGGTCAAAAAACGATAAAGGCGAGGAGCCACGACCGAAGAAGAGCAAAGACGAAATCCCGCCCCCGCGTGACCCCTTTCGCAAACCACCAGTGGGGCAATTGAAGAAGACGGGAGAGAGCTTTCTGCAGGACGGGCCGTGCTTCGAGGTGGCGCCCAAGTTGGCCAAGTGTCGGGAGTGCAGGTGGACGCCGAATCAGCGTTCTAAGAATATGCCGAATATTTTTTGTCGGTTTTACGCGTTCAGAAGGCTGAGGTACACCAAAAACGGGCAGTTGGCCATCGCGGGGTTCTCCGATCCGCACAAGGACGCTATGGAGGTATGTACATTTTTTTTAATCATTCTTTTTTTGTATTGCATTTAAAAGATTGTGGCTTACTTAACGTTTCACAGCTTTTCTGTTTTCCAAAAGTATGTTTTCATTATCATCTAACTAACCTCTGCATTTATATTCATTACTATGCACCGTTAACTACACAACTATGCACCGTCTGTTGTGTAATCCTATGTCATCATGAAGTTGATTGGAATTTCTGCCATACTGTCATTGTTAACAATCGGCAAACGTTGATATTAAAGACCATTGTTAGGGAATACCAACCTCATATGTGCACCAATTTTGACTAATTATTTCTTGACTATGACACTTCTTAATTCAGATTTTCCTCTTTTACTTTCCATCCTGGATTATTTGCATTCATTTTGTTCTAACTTGTTGTCTTATGTCGCATGTCTACCTTATTTGTATTATTTGTGGGTGTACATATATGATACTTATTAATGTGGGTGGTATTCCAGAAATTACCTGTTCAGAGCAGGTAAAAACTAGCTTTGTTATATTTGCTCCAGCATATGATTCAGATTGTGCTGCTGAATACTAACTCAGCTATCCAACTGACAAAAAGCTGCCCTTTTTTTCTATTACTAAAAATAGTTGTTGTTGGTTGATACATGTCTATTTTATTTAAGCCTATTTGTCCCCTTTTTCCCTTTATTCTGGCTTCAAATATTATTTTAATTGGTACGTTGTTGTCTTCTTTTAATTTTGTTTAAGTATCCCTTACCATACTATATTTGTTCTATAACATTTAGTTCTTCTGTTTTGTCCACATTCTTTACTTTATCTGATCTTATTACTTCCTTCCGCTTTTCTGGGATGTGATATTTCAAGTGTTTTTATTTTAATCTTCATTCTATATTTACAATAAGGAATGAACGGTAAAATGTTTTAAATAGGAACATTTTTATTTCTCTTATCTTTTGTTTACACCCACTTCATTAGATCCATATCCATGTTATTACTCGTAATCTACTTCTTTTTATTCCCTTGTACTTTTGTATTATCGGTTTCTCATTTTCTATTTGTTTGGCTCATTTTCTTTACAAATTTCATATATGTTACTTTAATTAGGCTTTTGTCTCTTTTACCTCCTAATGATCTGCTATTTCGCCTTTATTTTCTTTATTTTTTCATTTTTTACTGTTTGTAAATTGTTGTTTCTCTTTCTGATTTTTGCTACCACAACTAAAGATGCAGTAACGGTTCCTAAATATCATTAGTAGTACTATTGAGATGGTAAGAACTATTTTTGTACAATCATTTAAATGTAGTAAAATACATCATTTAATTTTTTTTATTACAAATTTTTTTTTTAACTCTAAAGATATTTTTAAATTTCTGAGTTTGGATGTTCTTTCAAAGTGGAATTAAAAATATACCATTCACTTTGAAATAAGGCTTTTCAATTTTAAAATAGTCTGGAACGAGAAACAGCAGTAACATTTTTAACATCTTTGGAATCCTAAGTTAAAATTGCCACATGGAAGTATCCTACAAGTTAGTTGATACAGTAAAGATCTGAGAGAAATGTATAACAAAAAATCAAAAGCATTGATAAACAGTATAAATAGTAAGGATTCAAGGATAGATCCTTGTGGCATTCCTGATGTTGTTAGTTTTTGTGTGGTGGAAATTTAAGTTGCTTACATTTTGGCAAAAGCTTAGATGACGTTTTGCTGAAATTAAACCAAAATTATCTTAAATTTTCAAAAATTTTTGTGTATTTAGAACTGTTACATCTTTTTTTCATCTCGAAATGATTGATTTTATGTTGTTTTTCTTATTTCAGGAGGACATAAGGCTGTGGCTTCCGAATTCTGACACTCCACCATCAGATTTGGATCTGGAAACATCCAGGTTTCTTCTCAAACAAGTTGGTGATCATTTTTGTGATTTATTAGTACAAGAAAAAGAAGCGAATGCAGAGCATTTATCAGATGGTTAGTATAATATTTTGATTATAGGTAGTTTTGACTTTTATCAAACCAATTTTGGCATCTTCAGTGAATGATTGCAACGAAGATACTGAAAATTGGTAAAGAAACCCAAAAAAAAAATACAATATATGTAATAATTTTTTTAATTTCAGATAAAACTGTGGCGTGGAAGCGAGTTGTACAGGGAGTTCGTGAGATGTGTGATGTATGTGAAACGACTTTATTCAATTTTCATTGGGCGTGTGGGAAGTGTGGATTTGTTGTTTGTTTAGATTGCTATAAGGTAAGTAATTTTTACTAGTAAAATTTTTTATTTATCAAAAAACCACTAAGTAATTTGACAATAAAACTATTTAATAAGTTACCAAATAAACTAAGAGATTTGCAACCAAGAGAACTGAAATATCATATGAAAAAGTTTTAATAGAAAATGCATTCTACAATGTAAATTGATTTTTTTGATATTGATTTTAATATTCGTTTTTAACCCTAATAATTTTATTGTATATTCCCAGAATGCTGTTAAATAAAATAATAAATGTCATTAATTGCAATTAGATCCATTTTTCTCATTTTTGTTCGTTTTGTTTACCTAAATTATATAGTTTGTGAACTATTATAAATATATTCCTAGATTATATGCATCAACTATCTAATTATTTAGCAACCAACTTTTAAACTATATTTAATGATCTTCATACAACATTTAAAAAACTTAAAAACTTATACAGTGTTCCCATTAATTTCATTAATTCATTATCTTCTTCTTTTTTTGTAGAGTCGTAAACGAGGCGCCATCAAAGTATGGGGCGAACCCAACAAGGACCGCGACGACTACTCGTGGCTGCTGTGCACCAATCGACAGGTGCACGAGCAGGAAAAACTGATGCTCACCCAAATCATCGCCGGTGATTCGTTGAACAAGCTGGGCAAGATGGTGCACGAGATGCGAGACTTGTGGAACGTCGAACAGTTCTGCGCGTGCCTGGCGGCCAAAGAATCGATACAAAGCAACAAGGCAGCCTCTAATCAACAAGTCAGGGATATCGTCAGGTCCATATTGGGTGATAAAGTGAATGGGATCAAGGAGTTCAAGGATGAGAACGGTAAGCGTTTTTACAAACATACAACTTGTTTTTTACATATTGGCAACTTCATCGAAATACATCCAATTTGAGATTCAGCCACATGAGTATTCAGCAGTCTTAAAAATTGATTAATACCTTTTTACCTCCTCCTATCATGTGGTTGTAAAATAAGTTTCCAACTTTGTTGTTTTTGTCTTTTTTTTTATGTAATAAAAATATGCGCCTTTTTAAATGGCAAAATAGCGAGGATAATTACTGTAAAAGTCTTAAAATTAGTTGTATCTACTACTTACACCCTTATTTAATGAAGAGATGTTAACAGTCAAGGTTGTATCTCAAACTTAATTTATTAATGATTTTTAACATTTAAACTTAGATACGTAACCTCCACTGTGTTTTAATTATCCTACAGTTTCTACACAAAAAAAATTAACGCTTCTGTAAAACCAGTAAAATTGAATTACTTATAACCTTTTTAATGTGAACATTGATGTTTTCGCGAGCGAACATATATATGTATTTTATATTTTACATTTTGGAGACTGATTTTCGACTTATTTTATATTTTGCAAGCAATTTGGCTATTTTATGAACAATTTCAAAATTTTAAATAGTTAATCTTATTCTTCCAGACTCCGGCAACGACCGCGAAGTGAAAAAAGAGGGCAGCAGCAGTGAGGACGAGGGCAACTTCTCCACGCTGCGCGAACTGCTTATTCGACCGTCGCACAAACCGAACGGCTCGCGAGCAGCCTCTCCCATCGCCAAGAACGAGTCGAAGAAGAAAACCGCCCCGCCGACGAAGCCCGCCGACCTCGACGACGTCATTTCGAGCGTCATCGAGGACAGCGTACCGCAGAAGACCGTCGAAACGCCGACCGAGCCCAAGAACGAGCTGAAGCACTTCGTCAGGCGTTACAACTGGCAGGGCAAGGGTAGGGTGCAGTTGCCCATCAGGATAATGACTATGACTGAGAGCAAGATGTTGTATCCCAATACGCCGCACAGTTGGTTGTGCGACGGGAAGTTGTTGAGGTTAAGCGATCCTCTAGGCAAGGACAACTACAAGATATTTCAGGATCAATGGAAACGCGGTCAACCCGTCATCGTTTCGGACGTCACCCGTAACACGGACAACGATCTGTGGCATCCAGAAGCGTTCGCTCGAGACTTTGGCGATGAGAAGAACGATCTAGTCAACTGTATGACGGGCAAAGTCGTGCCCAATCAACCCATGCGCAAATTTTGGGAGGGATTCGACCATTTCAGCAAACGCCTGAAGGACGACAGGGGCCAACCGATGCTGCTCAAACTGAAAGATTGGCCGCCGGGCGAAGATTTCGCCGAGATGCTGCCCACCAGGTACAGCGATTTGATGAAGGTGCTACCACTGGCAGAATACACCCACCGAACGGGACGGTTAAATTTAGCTAGCCGATTACCCGAATGCTTCGTACGTCCAGACCTCGGTCCGAAAATGTACAACGCCTACGGCTCCGCCCTCCACCCCAGCAAAGGTACCACCAACCTCCACTTGGACATCTCCGATGCCGTCAACGTGATGGTGTACGTAGGCATCCCCAAAGACGCCGACACCGACGAGCACATCAAGGAAGCGTTCAGAGCCATCGACGAGGCCGGCTGCGACATTCTAACGCGCAGACGCGTCCGTGACAAGGGGGAACTACCCGGTGCCTTGTGGCACATCTACAACGCGCGCGATGCCGATAAGATTCGTGATCTATTGAACAAGGTGGTGGTGGAAAAGGGTGGTCGCTTGGAACCCCATCACGATCCCATTCACGATCAGAGTTGTTACTTGGACGGGCCACTGCGCGAAAGGCTCTACAAGGAGTACGGCGTCGAGGGGTACGCGATCGTGCAGTGCAAGGGCGACGCCGTTTTCATACCGGCGGGAGCGCCGCATCAAGTGAGGAATTTGCATAACTGCATTAAGGTAAGAGTTCGTTAGAACAGAAGTAAAAGTTGGAAAGGCTTTTGCCAGTTCTCCCACTTTATACACATAAATTGACAGGTGTGCCGCGGATCTCACTGAAGTGGACGCGTTACATTGGCGTACAAAATTATTTTATAGATATTAATAACAATTTCGAGTAAATAGTTTAATAAATTGTGAATAGCTGTTGAAATTTTGTAAAATTATGATTTAAATATTATGATACATGTTTAATAATTATTTATAGTCCATAAATACGTGCGATTGTCCGGTTCCGCCGATAACAATTTAAAATTACTTATTCTATGAAAGGACACTGGCAGGTAAACATTACTGCGAAATTCTCGAAGCCGTCCGACGTAGTTTGACGTTTACACCCTCTCTACTTACCAAAATCCTTTCCAACTTTTACTTACTTCCAAGTAAAAAATTTCCAATATAATAAATTTTTTTTTATGAAATAAACAAATTGAAGCTTTTTGTGTAAAAAGGATGCAAGCCACAATTTGTCATGAAGTGACTGTTTTAGCTCAAAACATCTGTTAACAAGGATATTACTAACCACATATAAATTATTTTACCTGTAATTCGAAAGATAGCGCTATTTTTTCGTAATATTTATGTTTAAATAATTTTTTTATCTGTATTTGACAGATTTAAAAAACAATTTAAAACACTGAATGTGGCTGTAACCTTATTACGCCAAGGTCTTCAATTAATAAACGAGAATTTTCTGAAGTTATTGTTCATGGATTGAGCGTAAAATCTAATTCTCAAGTTGGTCCGAACGAATTTGATCAACTTAAATGATAAAAAAAGTGGCACCGTCGGATATTTCTGGTAGACATCCTTGGTACAATTCCAAAACCACGAATGTACAAATTTGGCATTTGTTGCCTAATGATTTTAGCAGATGTGTTATTCTTGAAAGTTATCAATCCCAAAGTCAGAGAAAGTGCCTTGAGAATCTAACTGCCCTCTACGCCAGATGTCTATTTAGAAAAAAAAAAATAATAATTTAGCAGTTGCTTCAATAGCTAAGACAGAATGTATCACATTCTTAAAACTGAAAGTTTGCACATTCGCGGTTTTGGCATTTTACAGAGGACATGTTTGATTCAACCTATAAACTTTTTTTAATCCTAATTTAATTAAGATAATTTAAAACTCAATTAAAATTACATAAAATCATTCTATACTTCTTATAGTCTAAAGCAGGCCCTACATGTTACTATTTTTGTTTGATTTGAGTGAGATTTGAACTATAGTCTGTTGATTCAGTCTATAACTCAACGTGAAGTACTCTGGCCTGCTGACCATATCGAAGCGTGTAGGGAAGTTTAATCAAATGAAAGACAAAATAAAGTGTAACCCTTTCGCTGTCTTAAGTAACCCTGAAGTATAAAACAGGAAAAACTTTTACATACTATTAATATTAGAGTACTATGCTACAAATACCACACAGTTAATTTTTTTTAACAGTTTTTTTTTAGTAAAAAAAAAGCAATTTTTCCCAAAGTTATTCAAACAGGGAAAAAAGGTGTTTTAGCATGAGATATTTATAAAAAAAACTAATGTCATAAAATGCCTTAATGAGTCTAAAGTACTGAAATTCAAAGGTTCTTATGTGAGGTCTGTCCTGTCTGACCAATGACTTAACACTTTTTTACGTGGTTCCGCGCTGACATATTGCATTTTTAGCCTATATGGTAAAAATTAAATGAATGTTATCTGCTCACTGATCGCTCTTTTAGCCATGACAGTTTCTAGGGAAAAAGTTTATAGCTTTATCTCATAGATGGCCTGATTAACTCAAATTGATATATCGCCTTCACATGAAAACATGTACCTGAAAGATGTCTGACGACCACTCGATGTGGAACAAGCAGACGAGCGATGAACATAAGCCATTAAAAAGTTCTATTTGAGATTTGCACTCATAAGAAATCAACTCGAACGCTCAGTCAACGAATATTTTTAGAATTAATCCCCATATCGATAGTAATTAACGAATTTCTTTTGTTTTGCAGGTAGCTGAAGACTTTGTCTCTCCCGAAAACGTCTCGCATTGCTTCCACTTGACGCAAGAATTCCGCGATCTGTCCGACACGCACTCCAACCACGAGGACAAGCTACAAATCAAGAACATCATCTATCACGCCGTCAAGGACTCCCTGTCGACGTTAAGTGCAATAATAAATCGACAGTTGAATGTCAAAAGCGAGAAAGACTCTTCGAGCAGCGAACGCAGTAACGGCAGCGGGGGCGGCGGTAGCAGCAGCACGTCGAACGACGCCGAACATTCGGCCAAGTCGTCCGACTCTAACGAGGCGACCTGAATAATTCAATGTGATAGCGCAACGCGACTTTCTGTTTTATCTAAATGGTTCCCGGTTAATAGTTTTTATTTCGCAAACGGACTTCGATTTCCGGTCGAATTTGGTTTTAAAACTGTCGTCAAATTTGCTATTTTGCTATTAAATTTGTTGACATTCTTTAAGAAGAACTTTCAAATTAATGTCACTCCTGAATATCGACTCTAAGAACTATATTGATGATTATCTCAATGTTTTCATTTATAATGTTTAAATGATATCCTTTTTACCTATTCTAAAATGGTATGTTGCTTTCAGCCTTTACGTTATTCTCCTAATTGTCACTAAATGATATTTTTTTATTATCCAAAAAATCTTCCCGTTCTATTAATTATCTCTTTCATTCTACTTGAAGTAAAGCAGGATAAGCATTCTGCTTGAAGGACCATGTTATCCTTTTTTACAAAACTATATCTTCTAGTTATTATATTGATATTGTTAACCAGTTAATTTTGTGATGTTCTTTTCCATATACCTCACTCCTTGTCACTTTAAAGTCAGTTCAAAGGAATTAATTTAATTTGAAAGTCTTCGTGAATGAATTTTAGCAAATTAAATTGCTTGTGAGCAAATTTGACGAATACGTTTGATAATTTTTTGTAAAACCAGGCACAGAATACGATATGTCGACAGTACTATCCTCGTAGTAGTTCAAATGAACCGCAATAGACTGATAGAAAAGTGATAACTGTAAGGAAATTTGTTGGAAATCGCGTTTTATTTATGGATCGTTACTGTCGCCATTTTGGTACCGGAAATCGATAATCTGTCGAAATTAAAAAAAAAAACTTCGACTTCATGTGTGATATTGACTTCTATTTCGGGGATGTGAAAAACGTAGTTTTTTCAACATTTCTGAAAATTTGAAAAACAAATTTTTGTTCTTTAAAAAAAGTGTGATGAACGTTTTTTCCTCTTGTTGTTTCTTCTCCTCTGTACATATCTGTACAAAAAAAAAATCATAATGTGAATGTTATTTAAGTTTTAATTTCTTTCGAATTGATTTTTTAAATGCTGAATATGCACGGTTTAACTTCCTGTATGTAGAGACTAGTGGGCAGGCGGGCGAGTCCCGATCTGTTATACTTTATTCTATTTACACTCTCTCATTTTTTGGTTGTTTAATGTGAACGCCATATTTTCTGGCCTTCGTCTTGTAACTTGTGTCTGGCAACGGTCCGAACCGGCCATATTTACGTCTACAATAGAAATTTAAACGTTTACAGGATGTTCGGGTTTGCAGTATTTCAGCAAATACCTAACTGCTAATCGAGTTGCAAAAGCCTGTTGATATACCATAAAAAAAATATATATTTTATAATAAAATTAACATTGGCAGACAAGTTGGTCGATTTTAGTATTGAAAAATTGGCGAAAAAGTATTAACAAAATATATCAGCAAGTCTGTCATTTTGATATATCGATATTCAGTTGGTTTTGAGCCTATGACAGTCAATTCGGAAGGTGCTAGAAGCTTTTATGTGAGCAAATTAGCTTGTTGTTTTGTGTTTTGATTTAACATTAATTCAAAAATGAAGTTGCAAACACCCAACTCATTTTTTACATACTTTTTTTGCGAGCAATCTCAAATTTATTTTTATCTTCCACATGTTTACAAGCAGAATAATCTTTATGCGAGCAAACGATAAATATTTCTACTCTTTTGTGAGCAAATTAAAATTTTTTTTGCAAGCAAATCAGATTTTTATGAGAACAAATAAGTAATTTGTGCATAGACAGTCGTGAAGGTGTTACAGAAATGGTTGTTCTGATGTAAATATTATCATTTTCTGCAATATTATCAAAGTGGCAGACTTGTTGAAATAACTATTTTTGATGTTTGTGTACATGCAGCTAGTATTTTAATGCTGAAATATTGTAAAAAAGTTAAGCTATAAATACAACTAATTCGTTCATATATGAGTGTCGCATAATCTGCAGAAATTTCAATTTTCTCGAACATTCTGTAAAAATTCTTGAACACGTTTTTGTCACTAGTTTGGTAATTCCTCCGTTGCCGCACGAAGCCTTTTTGTATATCAATGTTTAAAAGTACCAATGGTTATTTTTCAACTAATTGTATACTGTGCCTGTCGATTTTTAAAATATATTTAAAAAAAAAAAAGAGAAAATTATAACGGTATTTTTAGCAAAAAAAAGTCCGCTATTCAGTATTCGATGTGGGTAACCGAAACAAAAATGTTCAGACTTTATAAATAGATAGAAGAGTGTTAGATTTACGCAATTTTCAAAAAAATATGAAATATAAAAATACCTGACGCGGTGTTGCCGGATCGAGGACAGTTTCAAAACAAAAATATTTGATTTCGCAACACCGCCGGTCGTTGAGAAAAACTTCAAAGTGCTATTTCGAAGTGCCAATTCATTACTTTAGAGAAAAAAAGGGGGAGAAAGACTTTTTTGGTCGCGCGGCGACTTCGGGGTACGCGGTCGTGTCCGTGCGGGGCGGCCGTTCGTGGGGGGCATCGCGAGTTGATAATGATCTCGATTTATGTTTTCTTTCTTTACAACGATTAGTGTTAATCGATTCCGCTACTTTGGGGGCCGATTCGGGTGCAGAAAACTGCGATTGAAGCGATTTATATTTTCTTCCGATAAAAATAATCGATTTTAAATCAAATTTTTTCCCAATTTTTTTTGGAAAATGTACTCTTAAGGTTTTAAAGTGGTGATTAAACCGGAATGTACATGTTCGGCGCTTGGGATATGAAAATTGTCAAATCCAGTTTGTTGTGAACTATGTATTTGTAAACTTGTTTTCAAAATAAAATTAGCTGACGTTTTCTGCACCGGAACTCGGAACTATTATTATTTTTTTTTTTTTTTTGAGGGCTATAATTTAAAAACGCTTTTAAATGTGACCCTCCTCTTTGTCCTGTCAGAGTACTAATTGGTTATTGGATCTTTTTTGTATATTCATGAAAAATGTTCATTTATCTTTCTATATATATTGTATATTATTTGAAGGACACATTATTTATTTGCTTTTACAGTAATGTACAGTAGTATAGATTTTTGTACAGTAACGAATATATGTTTTCCTTTGATTGCCTGTTCAAGAGGCCCAATATAGTTTTTTTGTACTATGTATATTATGTAAGAATATAGGTTTGAATAAGAAAATGTTTATTACACTTGTTGTTTTATTTTCCTCGCATTAGTAATTATCCTCTATTTCTGTGATCTATATTTAAAAGCATTTTCCGGTTATTTTGTAAAACTTATTTCAGCACCTCTGTAAATGTTTAAAGGATAAACTAAATATATACTTTTTCCACATCTAACTCGAAAACATTTTTCTATATATATTTATTGAAAACGAAAATACTGATTAATTTTACACTTTCCCCAATTTTTCCATTACGGTCCATTTTAGAGAAATCATGTAAAATACAAAAATTATAGAGATCGATATCACTAACAACTTTTAGTTTAACAATTTTCTTAAAAATCAGAATTTTGTCAAATTTTTGGAATACGAAATTTTTTATATTTTGTAAAATTTCTTGAATACGAACCATTTTAGGATAATTTTATATAGAACACAAATTATAGAGAATAATGAAGGAAATAACTTTTATCTAAACAATTTTCTTCTAACATATATTCCATAAAATATAAAAACGACTCCCTATAAAATATCCCCCAGATGTTCCGACTCTGCCCAAAATCTAATCAGTTCACCTCACGCCGGAATAAAATTTAATGTTTTTTTATATCGGTTTTTGAGTTTTATTCAAAATTTAGACTTTCCCAAATATCTCGAATACGGTCCATTTTAGAGAAATTATGCATAGGATAAGAATTATAGAAAGTTATATCGCAAACAATTTTTATAAAAATTTGATTTTTTTTACTTTTTGTCAAATTTCTCGAATACGGACCATTTTATTAAAATTTTGTATAAAAATAGAGAATAAGTAACTCTTATTTGAAGAATTTTCTTCTCCAAACGTAAATAACATTCCATAAAATATAAAAAAGACTTCCTATAAAGTACCCCCCAAATGTTCCGACTGCCCAAAATCTAATCAGTTCAACGCAAGTCGGAATAAAGCTTCAAGTTTAAAATTTGGTGTTTTTCTTTGCATCCGTTCATGAGTTACCGAGGATACAGACATCGCGAAAATAATCAAAGTGGATTCAGAGGACCCCAAAATGTAAAAATCCGTTGAAAACTCGAGGTCGAAAAAATAATGATTCCTATACTTGTCTGTATACAGATAGGAAAGTAAAAAATGATCATATCTTAAATTAATTCCAGAATCTTCACTGTTTTGAACCGAAATACAATTTGTCGTAATTTGTTTCAGCACTGCATTGGAATTTATATTCGATCATGTATTGGGATCGAATAAATTTAGATAGGTACAGTAACAAATTTGTAAACTTTTTTGAATTTTATAAATTCAAAATATTAGAAATGGTTGACAAAATTTACAAATACATCTTATCAGCGAATAGCTAAAACTACATACTGAAATATACAGTTTTATGTAAAAATAGGCAACTATCAATACCATAGATTACTAATGTGAATAGATGGAAAACTCAATGGTAAAATTCTGAGTCGATGTGCTGCCATCTATCAAATTGGAGTGGTACTAAAATTCAATATGGCCGCCACGAGCGGGCTTTTTGAAATTTAACTTTGTAGTAGCGCAAAAATGTAATGAAGAAAATCAAATAAAGCAAAAAAATTGGAAAAATATTTGACTAGTTTCAAATCATAAAACAACCATATAGACTGTTTTGTGATTTAAAACCAGTCAAATATTTTGCCAATTTATATCTTAATTTGATTTTACTTCATTATATTTTTGCATTAATTTCAAACTTGAAATAAAATGCAATTTATTATTTTGTTTTTTATTACAGTAAATTATCGCCGCATCATATAATTTGGCTATTTAAACATGGAAATACTTAAACAAATATGCATTTACACCATTTAAATAATTAAATAGTTATAAAACAAACCTATCAAAAATGTTTTCTGTAACAAAATCAGTATATATAAGTGCTCAAGATCTTTATAAAAGTTTTGCGACTTGGAGTGGCAAATAAGTTTGAAAAAATTGAAGTGAAGAATCATCCTTTTTTACTATCGAGGCAAATTTAAGTGTGGATAAAATTTGCCATATGGTTATTGAGTCGACTAGTTAGGTTGAGGAGCATTTCTTCATCCGATAATTGTTTTCGTGATTCATTTATACAGCACTTGTAGTTATCAAATTTTTATTCATTATGTGGTCACCCTGATAAATTAATTTAACTTTTGAGTATAAACTTACACACGTTTGGACCCTTGACGATTTTAGAGTATTTTCTTGTTTGATGTCAATGGCATTGAATCAATTTTTGATATTGATAGATGAGGCTCAAATATTTCATCGATCGACAGGGTATTTTGGAGGGCCAACTTTTTCTTTACAACAATGATCATTTAAAAACTGAAAACAAAAAGAAATTTAAATAACAAACCAATTATTTTAACACTGAATCAAAAACTAGTTTGTAAATATTACTTACCAAACAGTGATGGTACTGGATGGTGCATTTTTCTTAAGACACTATTTGGATATCCTTAATATGACGACTGCATATTTAATGCGGTATAAATTGCATCACTACCAATATCTGGGAGTGCTTTATTGTTTGTTGCTGAAATCCATCTTTCCATCGTTTGAAAACATGCTTAAAATTGGAAGGTGTTGAAAAATAAATCAAAATTCAATACACCTTCAAATACAATAACCAATAGC